TATTATGGGATGATATGTCACGCCCTACTTGTTAAATGTCGATGCATCTTGTGGTGAGATGTTAAGTCGTTGTAGTATTATGAAATGACATGCCATGCTCCAATTGTTAGATGTCGATGACATCTTGTGGTGACACATTGAGTTGTTATAGTATTATGGGGTGGCACACCATGCTCCACTTGTTAGATGTCGATGACATCTTGTGGTGACACCTTGAGTCGTTGCAGTATTATGGGGTGACATGCCGCACTGGCTGAGTCGTTGCAATATTATAGGGTGACACACCATGCTCCAATTATTAGATGTCGATGACATCTTGTGGTAACACATTGAGTCATTGCATTATTATGGGGTGACACATCACGCTCTACTTGTTAGATGTCGATGATATCTTGTGGCAAAACGCTGAGCCGTTGTAGTATTATGAGGTGACATGCCATGCTCCATTTGTTAGATGTCGATGACATCTTGTGGTGACACATTGAGTCATTGCAGTATTATGGGGTGACACACTAAGCTCCACTTCTTAAATGTCGATGACATCGTGTGATGACATGTTGAGTCGTTGCAGTATTATGGGCAAACCCAAGCTTATTGCTTATGCCAGTGTTGGTAGTGCTGAAAAGCACTACAGGGTTGAGAGCTTGGTTCTACAACATTGAGTTTCTGTTTGGGAGGGGTTTGCGCTAAAAGGGATAGTGCTGTAGCGTTGGGAAATTTTGAACACAAACCATTAGAACCATTCTTACCGATGGCTCTTTAGCATTTTGCGGCTGAGCAGGACCGATCGGTGGTTGAGGAGATGTCGTTGCCTCTGTCAACTACTATAATAGAAATTACTGTGTTATTCGATAAATATATGTAGAAATGTTGAACACAAACCATTATAATCATTCTTACTAGTAGCTAGTTAACACTGTGCTGCTGAGTAGGACCGCTTGGTGGTTGAGGAGCTATCGTCTCATGGGTCAACTACAAACACAGATATTATCATGTTATTCGATAATCACATATGGAATTGTTGAACATAAACCATTAGGACCATCTTTATCGGCTGTTCACTGATATTGCCATGGTCATCTTTTCCCTCCATCAACTCAGGGCACGAAAACTAATTATCTTCGAAAAGCAATACGCCTCCTCTTAACAGGACCAACGACTCTTTTCTGCTTTAAGTTTCTCCTCTTCCACTCGCACCTAAACCTTAGTCCGCTCAATCCTCCATGTGCTGGGTGAGGGCTGATCATGCATCAAATACAAATAAGCGTAGCAAAAATAAATTTAAAATTAAATTACGCCTCACCTTCTCAAGATCTTTTTCATGCTGAATTGAGTATGAAATTAAATTACAAATAAAATATATATGTATGATCATATCAAATTTACCTTAATAACAAAGGTTGATAAATCCTTTGTTAAACCTCCGATTTGCCTTCAAAAAGCTCAACCACCTCAGCCCGGTTGTTCCAAACCAAATCTATTGAAGGAATCTTTGTGCAGCCTCTAATAGTGATCCACACTAATAAATTAGAAAACCTTTCTTTAAGGATTGGGAGTGCTATGCCTTAACAATGTGCTAGCAAAGAAAGTTTCATAAACTCATAATCTACACAAAATTATGGGGCTGAAAAGGAATCAAGTGAATGAAAACTATTTTTCTTCACACAAGGAACGATAAGAAAAAGAGTTTCTAATTTGTCGTTTCTTTCTTTTTCAGCCTTTTTTTTCCTCATGGTTTTGTTTGGAGGCTATAGCAAGGTATTTATACCTTGGATTAATTTTAAACCTTAATTACAAAACTATTTTGTAATTGCATATTAATCGAATAATTTGAATAAATAATTTAATTAAGTCCTTAAGAAGTCCAATTAACTTAATTATTTAATTTAATCAATGAGGCCTAATAATTTAATTAAACAATTTGATCAATTAAGCCCAATAACTTGATTAAACAAATAATCAATTAGACCCAATAACTTAATAAAATAATTTAATGAATTAGGCACAACTTAATTAAACAATTTTAATTAAGTGCTTGAGATGCTCATAACTTCTAATTTGATTA